TTCTTCTATTTCTGCATATGGCCCTCATTCTGGCAAGCGTCTTCTGGACTCCTGCTGAGGGCTGCCTCCAGTTGACTCGCGTGAATGACCCAGGTCACTCAGATGGAGGAGCCAGATGCAAATGGATGTGATGCTAGTCACCTTTGTATTCTGCTGGCTCAGGCAGACCTTTATCTTCATACTCTTTTCTTGCCTGTCTCTCTCATATGGAAACCAATGTAGTTCTTCAGAGTGACCAGTTCAAGTCAGACTTTCCTCCTTTTTAGTCACCTACCTGTCAAAATAACTAGCCACACCCTGTTACTTGTCCTTTTCCTACTTCCATCTTCCCCAGAAGAAAGAGACCACATTTTTCACATCTTACATGCAACTCAGAGGCAACTGTAATGGACCAGGGCATAGGCTGCCTGGCCTATTGGTCAGGTCAGTGGTTTTCAACCTGTTTTCATTTGCAGACTCTTAAAAAAAAAAGCTTTGAATGGAGGTGTGGGCCCCTTTGAATTGTAAGTGTGGGTATTCGCATACTTTGGATTTATCATAGCCATCTTTCATGGACCCCTTAGACATAGTCTGCAGATCCCTGAGGGGTCTATGAACAACAGGTTGAAAACCACTGGGTTAGGCCACTAAGAGAAAGGAGGGCCTGGGTCAGAGGGCAGGAGCCACATACCAGAGATCCAAAAGCATAGTCCACAGCACAGTTCCAGGGTCAGGATCTGTGGGTTAGATGCTGAGTACCAATCCAGAAGGGCAGCCCCCACAGACCAAAGTCCAAAAACAGAGCCTAACCACCGGCAGAAGCCAAGGAATAGAACCACAGGGAAATCCAAAGCTGCAGTCCAGAAGTAAGCCAAAAACCAGGGTCAGGAATGAGGAGGTTTGCCAGACTAGAACTGTTGCTTGGCTTGTAGATCCAGGCCCCTCGCTGGTGCTAAATGAGGAGGTGGTGCTCCCAGGAGCCAATCAGGGTGCTTGCTATTCCTAAACTGGGGCAGAGTTCATTAGCTGGGGCTTGCTACCGGTATGGTTGCTGTGGTACTTGGCCCAGGCTGGTCTGCCTGATCAGGGGTCCAGGACAGCAAGATTTTTTCCTATCCAGCCTTCCACAAACACCAGCCTACTTTGCTTGCCCCGTTTCCAAAATAAAACCTGTACTGCACTCAGGAACTGTAGAATTACGTAGTACTATAGGGACGGATTCTGCGACAGATTCTATTGAATTCTGTCTGAAAGTTTAAAATTCTGGAATCTAATAGTTTGGCCTAAATAAACAAACATAAAAATGACACATTAAGAAAAATGTAGGTTTTTATCCATCCCCCTCAACCAGCACCCCATGCTGCCGCCACCTCCAGGGAGCAGAGTTGGGGGGACACGTGAGGCCAGCCCACACTCTGTCCCTGCCATCATGGTGGCTTGTCTCCTGTCCTGAATACTCTTGGAGCACTCTGATTGGTTGTTTCAGTCAGTATTGTGATTGGCTGCCAAGTGAACCAATCAAAGTGCAAATAAAGTGTTATAGTTTCTAGGGTCAGAAGGGACCTGAGCAGATCAT